CCTAGCAAACGAGTCTAATCATTATTAATAGTCAATCAACTCGTAGACTGAAAAGACTTGTTGTCGACGCGCGTACAAACTTAGAGCGCCCAAGATAAGCCAAAGACTTAGGAAACCAACCAGCCGTAACTTGACTCTTCTGACAAGTACCCTCTACAACTTCCTCGAGTCCTGTCTACGACTTGTCGAGTCTTTTGAAGAGGCTCACCTAGTTCCAATCTTAGCAAGCCTGGATCAAACAAGGCCTGAGTCGTCGTTGCATCCGCACTTTCGCAACTGTTGGGCAACGCGTGCTGTAGACACATTCCGCAGACATATGCAGGAATGACAGGAAATACAGCCTTAAGCTGCTCCGAACTCTTTACGCCTCAAACTCAATTCAAAATTAGCTGGATTTGCACCTCAGCTGGCGATCCCACTGACTACAGCCGATGGAGCAAGCCAGATCAACGCAGGACGCAGTCCACTTACCCAAACCTTGCGTCCAGTTGACCGGCTCTAAATCTGAGCACGTATGCGTGTGTTCAGACAACAGACTCTTCAAACGTGGGCAGTGGCGGCGTGGCCAGACTCTGACCGTGGTTGGTTACTCAAAAGACACACTGGGCGAGGAGCACAATAAGGAGGCTTCAGGCAGGAATCTCGATGCGCCCAGGCTGGAGACGTTTCGGTGCCTTACCGCCGTCTCCCGAGGATCACAACCAAGGTTCGACTCTCAAGTATCGTGGTCGGCGCACTGTGAAGGAGGTAAGGGCTGTGCAGAAGCTCAGCTTCCTGACGTGACTCTCAGGATATCACCCCGTGAGCTCACCGCGACAAAACTCTACTGACCGCAGAGACAAACGAACCTTGGTCTTCTTCGTCAGTGAGCATGGATCAAATATTGACAATGTATCTGCTTCTATGCACGACATTGATCAAGGTGTCTATATCCTAATACTCGTGCTCAGGAGCTGCTGTGTGGGTCATGACTTGGAAGTTCACGATGTGTCGTCGCTTTAAGATACCGATTGGGTAAGCTCAATATTGATGCTTAATCGTCCCTCATGATAGGCAATTGCTGCGGCAGCAGACGGGAGGCGGCCAATATCAGGCCCATGAGGTACGAAGAGAGGCTTCCCCCTACCCGATACAATAGCAATAGGCTTTGCAAACGCATGAGGGTCGCTTACGGCGTTGAGCAGGTCATGTCTCGTTGCGAGATGCAAGTCACTGGTGCGTTATGCGATGGCCCTGTCTTTGATTTGCAGAGGAACGACGGGCTAGGGGGCACATCTACACCCCCAAGATGACTGGCATGCCAGCGACTTCCGGCCTCAGTTGACCGAGAGAACTGAACCCTCCGGCAGACGTTACTTTGCATGGGCGTCTCCCACGTTGACCTTGGCTTGAGAAGCCCACGAGGCAAGCTCGAGTTCGTCCCCGCTTGGATGACATGGTGCATTCTGATGGCAGCGCTCATAGAGGTTGCTGCCTTCGCGCCAATGCGAACGCCTCGATGACATTCAACAGAGTTCGCGTCCTCTCATCACCTTGAGCTCCCAACGAGAAGTTACGTGCGTAATGCCTCGGCATCCATCCACACCACCTCCTTATGACACTCAACCAAGCCACGATAGGTCCGTCATGCTCACAGAGGTTACGCCTAGCTGGTTGCCTGCCAGGCAGATGGGTCGCCTTGCTTCCGGACCGAGCTGTACCTGCACACCCACATGGATCTGGGTCACACCGGGCAATAGAGCACGCCGTCAGCTTCTGTCGGGATTCATCAATTCATTCATCTACGACTATGGCTCTAACGCAAGAAAATATCCGTTGATGTACAGTCTACTATAGGTATCCCGGATCTCCATCAGGAATGCAGGTATCCACCGATGCAGGTATTTACAGCTTGGAAATGATAGCGCCAGCGAACTCGCCCGTCTTGGCCTTGCCGCCCAGGTCACCAGTGAGGGCCTTTCCTTCCGCGAGGGTATCAAAAGCAGCCTTCTCGATTCTGTCGGCGTACTCGCCGAGGCTCATGTGACGCAGCATCATCATGGAGGAGAGCAGGAGAGCAGTGGGGTTAGCCAAGCCCTTGCCGGCAATGTCGGGGGCGGAGCCGTGGACAGCCTCGAAGATGGAGCACTCGTCGCCGATGTTGCCGGAGGGGGTGAGGCCGAGACCACCGATGAGACCGGCGCACATGTCGGACAGAATATCACCGTACAGGTTGGGCATGACGAGGACCTTGTCGTTGTAGGGGAGAGGGTCGGTGGTCATCTTCAGGCAGGTGTTGTCGAGGAGCTCGGCGTCGAACTCGATATCGGGGAAGTCCTTGGCGACCTCGTTGCCAGTCTTGAGGAAGAGACCGTCGGACATCTTCATGATGGTGGCCTTGTGAACAACGCGGACCTTCTTACGACCAATCTCGCGGGCGTGCTGGAAGGCAAAGCGGAGGACGCGCTCGGAGGCCTCGCGGGTGATGAGCTTGATGGACTGGACGACACCATCAACAACGACATGCTCGATACCAGAGTATTCACCCTCGGTATTCTCGCGGATCAGGACGGTGTCGACGTTGTCGTAGGGGGTCTTGTAGCCGGCGACGGATCGGCAGGGACGCAGGTTGGCGAAGAGGTTGAAGGTGCGGCGGAGAGTCAGGTTGAGGGAGACATGGCCCTTGCCAATGGGGGTCTGCAGCAGAAAATGGTGAGCAAAAATGGCTGATGATCCAGGCTAGGTAGGCATATACATACGGCGAGGGGACCCTTCAGGGCGATCTTGTTGCGCTTGATGCTCTCAATGGCGGCATCGGGGATGGCAGTCTTGCCATCCTTGAGGATGGGAGTGACATCGACAGGCTCCCAAGTGACGGGGGCCTTTTCTGAATGATCAGTACCAGGTCTACTGCTGAGAAAAGAGGCGCAAGTGCCGTGTCCAAACGTACCTTAGCCGCGGCGAAGATGTCCTTGACGGCCTGGGAGATCTCGGGGCCGATTCCGTCACCCTCAATCAAGCTGACCGGGTAGTTGCCCTGCGCGACGAAATCAGCATGTTCGTTCCTCAACAACCTGTAGTACCGCGGATTGGGTGTCGCCATTGAGCTGTCCAACGTGGACAACAAGAGCGACATATTCCTATTGCGCGCAAACTATGTGGGGCATCTGGAACGGAAACGAGCTCGAGGGTGTACGTACGTTAGAGTCCTTGACGCCGTTGAACTTGGCGACCTTCTCGCTGTAAAATCTGGAGTTCTGCTTCTCTTGTCAGCCAACGCTGTGCTAGCCGTCAGATGGCGATGTTGCGGCTCGACGCTGCGGGTTGTGCGTGGAGCTGCTGGAGGGGCCAGATCGGGGGATCGGGGACTATCAATGCGTACCTGGAACTGGGAAACGGCGGCGGCGCGAGGGGCAGCGCGCAGAACCTGCCGCCTCATGGGCGCAGCGAAAGTACGGGCGGCCAGCATTGTGACGGAGGTATGAGCGGTTCTTTAGAGGGGAGAAGGATACGAATTACGCCGAGGGAGTAGAGTTGCGACGAGGTGGCTGATCCGGGAAGATTTTGTGATCGGAGGATCGGAATTTCAAAGTCGGGTAAGGTCGGCTACGCTTCGTAAATACGTCGCTTACATAATATGACAACTCCCAGGATTCGCTGCGGGGGCTTCCAGTGACAGGTTGGCATTTTATACAAGCGCGTCAACGGCGCCATTATGTAGTACGAGATTCTTGTGACCTTGATCGCTATAGAGAGCATACTTCAGTGGAGGAATGGCCGTTGAAGCCCGAACACACATACACAAGGTTGTCCGCCGATAACCTCGCGACTGACACACAACCACCGCGAGTGCACGAACTCACTCGACTGATAGATCCATCACCGGTCATGGACAAGGGCTGATGAGTTGATGAGGTTCTGCATGATGAAGTCATTCACAAAAAAAGGGAAGTGGTATAAGAGGTTCAACATGTAAAAAATATGTATGTCTACACGCAATACCCTCATATTACACTGCGTTTATCCTACTTTGTAATCTTTTGCTAGATGAGCCATGAAACTTTCTCGATATGGCCTCATATAACTGAGTATGTCTCACTGAAGGATATACTGCCGGTTTTGGCGTTGTATTTTTAAATTACTACCACTGGACGATATCCAGACCTCCTTTTCGTTCGCCACCGAGATACGTGCACTTCAATAAAACGTTAACCACAAACGCTCGCTCTCATACCAACGCCTACGTGCCCTCTACTTCAATTCATGTCTGGAACAACCACACCCCTCCAATGATCGGATTTCATTTGACGTTGATTCACCCTCCCCAAGCCCATAGTCGCATGTGCACTCGCTAAGTCATCGTTGGCTGAAGACCGGTCTCGTGAGTAAAGTCCGGGCGGGTGGGCATGTAAGCTTACTCGTCCCCGTCATGCTGAAGCTTCCCCTCGAATCCCCCGCTGTTCTTCAACACCAATAAGCTGTCGTGCGACACGACCTCATCAAACCCCAGCCAAACACCTAATGACAGACCGCACTGGTATATTGATGCAGATATCTGTGTACATAGTCCACACGCCTTGGCTGCAGACTTTCGACGCCTACTTTTTGGTTCTTTCATACAATCGGAGCGGAACAGAAGGTGGGGACAAACGCACCAGTCTGAACAAAAGAGAGTAGATGCGTCAATTCGATGCGGGTTAGGTCCAAAGGTATCATGACGCTCGCGGCCGGACCAACCTCCTTAAAAATTCCCTCCCCTCCCTTTCCCAGCGTTTCCCTTTCGACGCGCGCAGTAAAAAAGAAACAAAGAAGGCCACACGCAGCGTCCCATTCTATTCCAAAATGCCAAACTCCAAGATCGCCAGGCTCGGCAGTGTCCGAACCACACATTATCACGGCCTGGAACCGCTTACAAACTCCGTGCCCCGGCAACGGCCGCAGGTTCGGTTGCCGCCTGGGCTCGTCATGCTTCGGGGGGTGTTTTTGGTATCACATCGTCCTGCCCAGCAGACTAAAAAATTTCATTGCGCGCTCTGCGACCTCGACCGGTTGCCGTGCCGGCTGGGCCGTGGAGTGCTGTTCCCCTCCCGCCCGGCGCCGGCGCGCACCGCGTCGGTGTAGCTGGGTATCGGGGGGTGCGAGGGGCCCGCCGCTGCTGCCACCGTCGCGCCACGGCTCCGATTGAGCACGCGGATGAGGGGCGTGTTCTCGCTGTCCGTGCTGTTCCGGCGGCTTCCGGCCTCCGAGGAATCAGGACTCGTGTACTCGGGGGGAGGATTCAGGGCGTCTTGAAGCCCAAGCCCTACGACGCTTTCCCCTTCGTGCCCGGGGTTGCTGCCGCTTGGCTCGCCGCCCTCATCGTTGGGCACGAAGTGCGTCAGGGAGATGTCAGTCGGGCTTCTCACGGGACCGGGGCTCCTCGGTGGTAGTACTCTGAAGTTTCCGCTCCTTGTGCGTCCATGCTGAGGACCCAGTCCACTCTGCGAGTACGACTGCGACTGCGTGTGCCCCCGCTGCAGCGTAATGCTGCCCGTGTAGCCGTCCTTGCGCCCGGCCTCGAGCAGGATGTCGCCCTGCTCGGAGCCGTACGGCGGCGGCGGCGCAAGGCTGCCGGTCATGGGGGCGAGGCCCCACTTCTTGACGTTGGCCTCGATGAAGACGAAGCCGGCCTGGCCAAAGTTGACGTGGATGATGCAGGGGCCGTTGGCGCCGACGGCGGGGAAGAAGTTTTGCGACTTGACACCGTGAACGACGTCCTCCAGCTTCTTACCGTTGCGGGTGAAGAAAATGGTGCCCGTCCGCGGGCGGTAGCCGACGCCAATGACGTCGCCCTGGACGTACTGGGGTGCGTAGGGTGTCGCGTTGAAGGGCTGGTTGCACCGGCGCTGGCCCGTCGACAGATATGCGGCGGAGTGTTTGTGGAAGCCTAGACAGTTAGTGCGTGCGGGAGAGGCGGACTGGGTCGGGCATACCGGGTAATCTGAACAACGGGTACGGCTTCGTGGCCATGCCGATGCTGATCAACGTGTTTTCGGGCTTGTCGTAGATTTTGGCCTCCCAGTAGTAGACTTCGTTCTGCTTTGGGACGGGCAGGTTGCTCATGACGGTGCATTCGGAGTCGAAGAACTCAATCTCGGTGCGGGCCTCGACGAAGCAGTTGGCGATTTCGAGCTCGGGCTCAAACTCCCAGGCGGAGACGCCCTTTTCTTGGATGGCGAGGTACTGGGACAGCGAAATGTCTGTCTGGACAGAGTCGGGCGGGTTCGCGTTAATGAATGCTGCGGGCTGGTCAGTGGTCTGTCTGCGGATGGCGCGGCAGGTTGAATGGTTACCCTTTGCTCTCAAATACTCGGTCCGCTGCATGTCGTCCATGGACTCGAGGGCCTCGGCCTCTTCCCTGGCGAAGGCCTGCTCATCGTCGTACTCGCCGGGGCGTCCGATGCGATCGAGAAAGATGCGACCGCTGGCTGTGTATCTGAAGAAGTAGATGACGAGGAAGATGATGGCGATAAGGACGGCGGAGCCAAAGGAGGACAGCAGTCCGATGACGACGCCATTAAGGGCCGACGACGGTGTTGTCGGGGCCATGACGGACAGGCGGGCGGCGGTCGTCGAGTCAATCCGGTCGGTCGGTTGGTCGGGTGAGGGATTGGAATCGGTCGATCGAGAGGAGGGACGGCTGGCGTCACCGCCGCGAAAGCAGCATTCGGGGGGATGGACTCGGCTGGCGGGTGCGAAGAGAAAAGGAAGGCGCGATAACAAACAGGGGCGTGAGAAGGGAAGGAAAGTCGACGTCGACGGACGTAAGGGTTGAAGGCGAAGGAGAGGGAGAGATGCGGATTGAATCGGGATCGAAGTGGCTAGGTGAGGTAGGTTGGGTCAGACGAGCTGGTCGTCGATGTCGCCGCGGTGGTGGTGGAGGTCGTTGTTGGGCGGTTGCGTGCCGCTAACAGCAGGACACCCTGAGAGCGGTGCGTGCTGCAGAGCAGAGCAGTGCAGTGCAGTGCAGTGCAGTGCAGTGCAGATGGCTGGCGGTGGTGGTAGGTACGGATAGGTAGGCGGCAGGTGGTGGTGGCACACAGGCTCCGACTGTCCCAAGTCGCAGGTTGATGGGGCCTGGGGGTGACCAGGTGCTCTCTTGGAGTTTGGGTGCCTCCCGTCTTGTTTGTGGCGGGTCCTCAGCTGAGATCGGACTCTGGGCGCTGTGCGGCGCAGTGGCCTGGGCTGGTCCCGTATCCGCAAGGTGAGGTGCAGGCAAGGCACGGCAAGGCAAGGCAAGGCAAGGGATCCGTAAGGTGAGATAAGGCGGCGCGAGGCGAGGCGGAGGAAGGACTAATAAGAGGTGGACAGGGCGGGTATCGATATGCTATGCCTATGCAGGATGGACGGCGTGCAGACAGAACTGTAGTCTGTCGATGGGATGAATCGATGGAGAGGGGAAGGCGGACAGAAAAAGAATAACGTCGTGAGGGCCGTGGACCAAGGTCGGCCGTTGATGCAGCGCAGCAGCAGCTAATGCGTCGGGGTGTGTGTGTGTGTGTGTGTGTGTGTGTGTGTGTGTGTGTGTGTGTGTGTGTGTGTGTGTGTGTGTGTGTGAGAGTGGTGGATGGTGTGTGGTGTTGGACTGCGAGGGGCGGCGGCGGGAGGAGGTGGAGGAAGGGAGGGGAAGAAGGATGATGACAGGATGAAAAAAGCAATCAAGATCCAAGCAAGGGGCGCGACACACACTCAGCGCGCGGCGGCACAACAGAGAAGCGACTGATGGTTTGCAAGTTGCGCGATGCTCGGAGAAAAAAAGACGAAAGACGGAGAGGGACGTTGAGAGAAAGTCGTCGTCGGTTCCAAGAGCGACGGCGGCGACGGCGACAGCGCTGGTACAGGATTTCCCTGGAGATGTACGGCGCAGTTGGGCTCTGTACACAGCAAGGCAAGACAAGGCAAGGCAAGACAAGGTACATGGTCATGGACAGCAAACTGTTAGAGGGTCGTGTCTGCATTCGGTGTCGCATTCTAACGGGTGGCGGGGGCCATTCCCGTACTGCGGAGACGCCGCGCCCAGTCGTCGCCAAAGATGACGCTGACTGACGGGTCCCAGCTCCAGCTTTCCAGGCCCGCGCAGCACGCGGTAGGCTCCCCTTCCACTTGCGACCTGGGGCAGACCTGGGCCAGGTACATGGCCATGTACGTAATGCCACCGCGGACGGGAGGTGCCTTGAGGACAAGAACGGACCCTGACAACACACCTCGCCTTTGCATTGGAGCTGCTGCACAGCACATTGGACCATCCACCGAAGAGAGAGCCCGACCCCCGACCCCGACTCACCTCGACCCGTTGACCTGCAGCAATGCCATGGCCTCCGGAATCTGCGCATCCTTCTGGGTCGATGGGTCGCTGGAAGCACCGGAGACGGACGGGGCCATGTTGCCACCCCCGGGCAGCGTCGTTTTTTCCCATTCCTCTCGTCGCGTGCCCATCGATCCTCGACCCTCTCACAAGTTACCCCTCCGCCACCACTCCTCTTGTCGCAGGGTGCCGTCTGTCTGTCCGTCTTCATTGTTCGACTCCGACCATCGACCACAAGCCATGCCGCCTCCGTCGATCCAACTTCGACAGCCCCTTTCTCAGCCATAGCATCGCCGCTAGCAATCAGCGAACATGACAAGCCCTCCCAGGCACCCACGCGGCGAGCGCATAACCATCGCCCGGACGGTCAAGCCTTAGCCCGGGCTGCCTAGGTAGGTACCTGAAGTGGGAAGTGGTAGGGCCAAGGGCAAAAGGGACGACCGAGTTACTGTGTGAGGTGCTTGTCGGGAGTGGCTGGCAGCCCCGGCGCAGCCCACTAGTTTCATCGGACAGAGGGCGAGGCACTTTTCGCATTGGGTTTCATGCTCTGGCCGTCTTTGTTCCCAAAGAGTTCCCTCGTCGTCTCGAAGCCGCCCGTGCTCAGCCGCATCCCCCCCTTTTTCTTCTTCTCCAGTGTCTTGAACGTTGGTTGTCCCATCTGTCCAATAATGCCCCGTCGCCTTTGTTTTCGTGAGAGACACGCCGCGTGCCTGGTTGGCCGGTCTCATCGTCCAGTCAGAGCCGCCCCCCTGTTGTATTGTCATGCCTTCCATGCCTTTCCTTTCAGGAACGTTATGCAACGGCTGCACTCAACTAAAGGCATTCTGCATTCCTCACCCGCATCCCCGTCCGGCCCGGAATAGTCCAAGCTGCTCGTCTTTCGGTCCACGGCACCCCCATTCCAACGTCCGTGGTCGTTGTCGGGTCCGGCCAACGTCGAAGCCATCATCTAGGATGCAAATGGTCAAGATGCGGCGCCGTCGCCAAAATAGGTCCCCCGTCAGTGCTTCATCGCCATGGATCCCGCCCGGGCTTTTCCCTCCTGTCAAGATGTCAAACCGCCCCCTCCCCCCTCGACGGCGCCCGCGAACGGCGACGGCGCACTGTCGCTAATCGGAAAGGCGAGCGGGCGGGCGGGCGCCCATCTGTGATGCTACACTCTTTTTTGTTGCGTTGCGCGTGAAGAACCCCGCCCATAAGGCACCCCTGCAGTTTCCCACTTTACGGGAGATCGGCGGTCGGCATCTGGAGAGTCTCCACACCGGAGCCGGTCCCCGCTCCGGATCTCACGCCGGTCTCTTTTTGTGCACGGTGAATTTGCAACTCCAAACGTCGTCGACCCGACGGCGACGACTGCGTGTGAACTTTTTGGTCCACGCAGGTTTTTCCTGGAGCGGAGATACAGCAGCAAGGGGTATGTACGGCATGCGAGCTGTTGTGGCGGCCACAAAAAAAAAAAAAAAAAAAAAAAAAAAAAAAAAAAAAAAAAAAATTTNGGGGGCCAAAAAAAAAAAAAAAAAAAAAAAAAAAAAAAAAAAAAAAAAAAACATGTCTTCTGACAGATGAGCGGAGCTGGGGCTGACTTCATTCCGGCCCCGTAATTCACCACTTCAGCCTTTGTACCAACGCCGCCCAAGTCCAGAAGGGTTTTTTTGCTGGTGTTGCCCGTTTGTTAGAGTTGCTCACTCGGGTTGCTCACTCGGGTTGCTCACTCGGGTTGCTCACTCGGGTTGCTCACTCGGGTTGCTCACTCGGGTTGCTCACTCGGGTTGCTCACTTGGGTTGAATCACCCCCACGAGCAAACCAGATCTGTGTTTTCGGTGACTGGGCGCCGCCCATCTTGTGGAGACCGGTAGATAGGAATCACTGATTGCCGTTGCAATTCTGAACTCAAATTGCTGCGACGTACCCCAGAGTCAAATACCTTATTCACCAGAACACGACCTTCATTCTTTCTCCCACATAAGAAACAGGCGTCTGCAAGTCTCCTACAAAATTGAGTGTTCCCACAGACTGCGAGGACTCCATCCGTTCTACACCCGTTCTACACAAACAAACAATGCCTCGCTCATAGTCATTATTTCCGTCAAGTATATATCCAGCTCGCTGTGTCCTGGCAGAATCTTTCTCCTTTACCCAACTCGACAGGCTTGAAGTTAACCTATACACTCCAGTTGATTAGCAAGAGTCCGCCTCGTTTCGGCTTTGGTTTTCTTCCTTCTTCGCAGGTTTTTCACGTTAAAGGTAAGCTTGCTATCTCATTTTTCTTCCACTCAGCCCCTGCAAAGTCCGCTGCGTCTCGAGAGTGTCTTCTTTCCAGAGTCAGCAGTCTCAAAGGCAAGCTTTTGGTTTCCTTATTTCTTTCCACCAACTTCAGTCACTTGTATATTCAGCCGGCTCGAAAGCATCTTCTTCCTCACCTTTCCACACGCGTTCTTGTCTGACACGTACATACAGTCCGCAGCAGACGGCCAGGATGAACACACAGCAGGGCCCCTGGACACAGCAGGTCCCCTATCCACAGCCGGGCTCTTGGACACAGCAGAGCTGGTCACCACCGGGTTGGACACCGCCGAGCTGGGCACCGCCGGGCTGCTTTTGGCAACAGGTGCCTGTAAAGTGCCTCGCCCACGGTCAATTGATGTGCCACCATTGCCAACAGTGGGTTCTTCTTCCCAGCCGGTCACCTCCCGTCCCGCAAACCATCACGGGGGGTCTCCTCCACACAGTAAACCAGAGGTCAACATGTCGGCACTACATCGACTACTGCTGCGAGAGGCCGGATAACTGTGACTTCCCCCACAGACACCACAGGCGCCGGCCAGCGTCTCGTTCGAAAGGCATCTGCAGACACTGGAAAAACAACGGTAACCCTATGAGTAGGTGTGGGTACGGTGTTGAAGAGTGTGATTTCCACCACCCTTACAGAAAGCCAAATGAACGTCGTCTCCCCCTGGGCTCCTTTACGTGGAGGGGAACAACATACGCCCCGACGATGGCGCCGCTAGGCTTCTCCCCCCAGGTCATCTCCCCCCAGGTCATCTCTCCCCAGGTTGTCTCTTCTCAGGCCAGCTATACCCAAGCCAGCTATACCCAGGCCAGCTCTCCCCAGTCCGCGGCCTCCAACACCGTCTCTCAACCCGAGCGCTGGAGCCAACAATGCCCGCTCCTGGATAAATGCCCGGACTACGGGAAGAGCTGTCCCCATATGCACCACATCATTGCCCACGGCACCCGCCAGCC